GGTAGGTTACAGTCGCATCTGCGCATGCGCTGGACTTTGTTTACGTTTTTTGTTTTGATCCACATTAAGTATATAAGATGAAGTATATGACGAGTTCAAAGTAACATTCCACATAATTTGTGACCGAGGAGTGCAATGTTTTACAATACTTCGCTGCATTTATTGTACATTTCTACACTGGAAATTTTTGTACACAATAACACAATCTTATACTGTAACTCTTTAACTGTAAACATTGTGAATAAACAGGCCGCTTTGAACCTTGTGTGACTTGCTATATACAACAGCTGGGGCGGCGAACCGAAATCCCGAAGGTGTGAGTTCGAATAATTTGTGTTTAGTGTTTACCTTTGGAGTTTGTGTCTAATCACGAAAATAGTTCATGTGGTATCAATCCCTCGAAACATGTTGCCAGAGTTGTTGTTGTCATTATGACAGAAGCACTTGGGGAAAGCTTTTCGCTTGACGAAATTCGAAACAAGTGTGATTGAGAATGTGGCTGCAGTTCCTGTCTTCGTGGCAAAGCCAAGGGCGAAATTTTTGACCGTGCAAAAGCTGGATAAACAGCTTTTGTTCAAGCTCGTGCGCGCTATGGAGATAATTTTGGATGCTGTTTTAATATAAACAACAGAAGAGTTCAACAGATTGACAGTGACGAGAGTACGAGACGCTAAGATTATATTCAACTTTTTTGTGTTATAAAAATGTATGTTTTGAAATTATGAACTGGAAGTATGAATTCATTGATATTACTCTCATATTGACACTAAATGATGATATTCTTGTGACACTGAATGATCTAATATTAATAGCTTCAACAATTCTGGTGATCAGGTTACTTCATCATGTCTCTTCAAGACGGAGGACAATTGCTAAATATATGCTTGTTTCGCTCTATATCAGAGCTCATCAGAATGCCCAGGAAACACTGATGAAATTTTGATTTACATCAACGAATCTTTCTTTTTTTAACAGATTTATTGGGTTATATGGTAATATATATATACAGACATTAAAGCAGAACTCCAAGGGGTAAAGCACAAGCAGGACTCCAGGGCTTTATTTATAGCCTTTATATGCCCCCTGAGAATACTGAATATAGCTACTAAATATAATTACAGTTTGTAACATGAACAATCAGATAAGCACCATTTACATAAGAACCTGTTTAGGCTAACTTGGAAAAAATCTAGGTTCTTATTTGCAGGGTTTTACTGTGTTGTCTAATTTTGTCCCAAAACAGACCATGCACGGCAGCCTGTTCTGGCAACAGAGATAATGGGATGGTGCCACTCTTTGTGACACAAAATCAGGCAATTATAGTACAATATGAACTGGCAAGTGTCTGGCACCTTAAAATCAGATTGCTTTGTGTATAGATGGAGCTCATAAGCCTTGGCTGGCAATCCATCTAGGAGAAAAAAAACTCTGATTTCAAACCCCCAGACCCCACTTTTGGACAAGACATGTATAGTAACTATATCAGTCATGATCATCTAAAAATGCCAGTATATATGCACTTATACAAAGCTGTATGCACTGTAAAGCTACACTTTATTTATCTCAATGACATTTTCAGGGTTCTGGATCATTTTCATTACTTTGTGAAGAGTTTATTCTCTTTGATTTTTATACATTTTTAGATCTGACTGGTCTCCATGTGATAAAATAAGAACCTGAAATACTAGCCTAAACAGATTGGGTGTCTAAATACTGAAAAATTAGCCTGACAGGCCCTTATACAGGTTCTTATATGCAAGCTTTTACTTACAATTAGGGTGGAAAATATACTTACTAGTAATTATTAGTTGAGTTTGTTTACATCATATAAGTATTTGTGATCAAAATCTTTTATAAACTAAATGTCTTAGGGGTGTTTATATGGAAGCAAGCCAGCCCAGTTACCTGAGCTAGGTGGCTTTGCCTAGCTAATTTCATCATGTAGCAGGCTGGCACCAAAACAAATCATCGCGAGAAACTGTCATGGTTATGACCATCACAACTGTTCACAGAGGCATTAATTTATAAAATTATAGATCAAAAATCTGTTGAGAAAGTCTTATTTACTACAATTAGTACAATATATTCGTATTGAGCGGCTTAGGCAAACCAGCCAACCTAGGCGAGATCTGGGGCTCTGTCGGGCTTCACAAATTAAACAAGATCTTGCTTAGGCAAGCAAGCCTGGTTCTCATATACACACAATACGAATATTAGTATAAATTATCTAGCAACATTAGATCTCGGCCAAGCGAGCTAGCTCAGGCACCCGAGCTGGCTTGCCTCCATATAAACACCCCATTAGGTCAAGTACTGTAACTTCAGAGCAACTAAAAGGCATTTAAACTGTTATGTGCTTTGATCAAATTAAAATCTACTTTAACTTTGATCAGAGAAACTTTTTGATGTGTTTCTATTAAGTTTTAAGTGAGCACAAGTTGTCCATGAGCAGACAGTCAAAGACAGTAAAGCACTGCCACAGCCAAGTAGATTATCACTCTGACAAGTGACAATAACACGTCTATATAAACAGCCATCCAAAAGTCCCAAACATGTTCACTCCAAATTGTTCATTATTTTTTCATCGACAACTCACTAGTCTCGAGTATCATATCTTTAGGCCTTTATAATTATATTATGGGTTTCAGTTTGTAAACAAAATAGATAAACAGTTCGTATATATTAACGATAGTGAAATAGTGTAATAAAGAAAATTTTATAGTCATTAAAACCTCGATTGATGGGCTTCAACAAGCGATTTCTCTGAAGGATCAACATTGCAGCTATGTTGGGAGCAATCTCCAATCCTTCTTGGATTCTTTTCTTGACAACCTTTGGTAGAAGCTTGAGGATGCAGGTATATCATGGCCATTCATGGGCAGACGCAGAAATGGAATGCGCTCTCCATCGAGGAAAACAATAAAATAGATACACTTTGATACACTTTCGAAGCATCCCTGTTAGCGTAGTATCCTTTCCTACTCGTCATGTTGCCTCAATAACTCGTTATTTGACGGACTGTCGCTCAAAAAAGCTCAAAATATTTTGGAAACTTCTTCGCTCCTTGGGCATTAAATTCAATTGCGATAAAAACAACGCGCGTGTTATTGCCAGAAATGAGACTGGACCGAGCACAAACACAGGATGACAACTTCCTGTGTGTCCCCACATAAACAAAAGTCCAGCACATGCGCAGATGCGACTGTAACCTACCTTTAATTAGCAAATCTTTTTTGAAGGTGTGTTACAAAAGCACACCTTTCACTAACCTTTCACCAAAGATGTGCTTAATTTAACAACGTCAAAGGTGTGTTATTTTAAGGTGTGTTATTGAAAAAAGGTGTGCTATTTTGGGGCACAAAAAAAGATGTGTTAGTAGAAAAAGGTGTGTTATTGGAGAAAGGTGTGCTATTTTAAAAGGTGTGTTATCTTCCAAAGGTGTGTTATCTTTCAAAGGTGTGTTAATTGAGCACACCTTACCCTTACTCGAAAGGTGTGTTAGCTAAAGGTGTGTTACAGAACACACCTTTTGCGTACACTGTGTTCTGCTCAGCACACCTTGGTGTGTTTTGTAGCACACCTTGGTGTGTTTTGTAGCACACCTTGGTGTGTTCAGTGACAAGAAAACACACCTTGTGTGCTATTTTAGCACACCTTGTGTGTTACATAACACACCAAGGTGTGTTGTTTAGCACACCTATTTTTAAGAGTGTAGATAGCAGTATGGCGAAAGCGTCGTTTTTGGGTGTGGTCAGTTTCGGACGTTTCGTCCCGGATTGGGGTTCGGGCAGCGTTACCATGTTGACCGTCATGGTCAACTTGCCCTAAAACAGTTGAGATTATCTGTCCTAAATGAAATGCATACAAACTCATATACAGGTCCTCGACTAATAACGAGATGTTCGTGGTTGTTGTATATTTTTGAATGCCTGTTTAATCTTTATAATTTTTTGCTCGAGACAAAGTAAAATGTACTCTACGTTTCCAGTGTATAGAATATCTCGTTTGTGTTTGAACAGCAGTAGAATATTATAAACTTGACACAAACAAGAAGACATTTGACACGCTATTAATTCTGCAGTCATGCCTGCCAATCGTCGCAAGCTTGACTGCCTTGTCAAAAGCAAAACAAGTACGAATTTGGGTTCAAACAGAAAGACGTTCAATGTTAATACCACTAACATATATTTAATAGAAATACGGGTGGTTTAAAATGTTTTCAATTGAATTGTTAAAGCTTTTATCTATCGACATGATAATCAAACTGTGAAAATGCCGGCTTTTGTTGACGCTTGCGAATGCAGAATAACTTCCCGTAAACAGAGCATTTCTACACAAAACTCTCGCTTAGTCTTCAATGCACTTGTATGTTCGGTTCTACTAGTTAAACAAGGAAAATATCCAAGAAACTTGGTAAATTATCGTTGTTATAAAAACATTTCAGTGCTGAGGCAGTACAAGGACTTAAGGCCAAGGGCAAGGTCAAGTTGTCGATTTCATTACATTTTCAGTAGTTCGAATGTTTTCGAACTCTTATCTCATAAAAGAGCAGTAAACGCACGCATTTCAAAGCGAAATTAGACGCAAAGGGGCAATTTTTCAACAAAATTCATTGTTAAATTATGTTTCCTATGTGCCTTGGGAGCAAAAAAATATGATTTTAAATTTGGAGATTTCGGTAAATTTTTTTTCAATTTGGCCTGGTATTGCACCCTACCTATGTACTAACTGTGCTGTAAAAGTAATCAAATATACTATTTTTAATTTCCTTTCATTGAAAGGATCTACTATTGTGGACTAAACTAAATTTTAATCAGCATGTAAGGCTGCAAACAACAGCCAAGAATTAGCTGGGTAGTTTGCAAACTTTAAAAATAATGGACCTCAAACTTTGATCTCCAGAAGTAAACAAATAGACAATACTGCGAACATAATCCAAGTTTTGATCACGAGGGGCAATTTTTAGATGTAAAAAAACTTGTTTAAATTACATATCAAACTAAGACAAAACAAAATTTGGTATTAAATTTTTGGTGAAATCGTCAAAGTTTTTTGCTATCCGCCCACACTTCTACACCCCCTCTCCCAGGATATTCTACCTCAAAAAACAGTTTTCTGCAGAAACTATGCTTTTTTATCGGAAAAATGTTTACTTTTCTCAAAAAAACATTATAAACACGGAAACCTTAAATATTTAAATAATTTTCATACCTTTTTGGGATTGAAAAAAGCAAAATTTGATTCATTATCCCACTTTTTAAAATATATGTGACAAAGTTGCTTCAAAATCACCATCACGCAGTAGCATGTTTATTTACCCTCATCCTTTTGACTGAATGAAGTTTATCGTTTTGAAAAGCTATTTGTTTTATAGCTCTTGGTTACCGGTTTACGTTTATGTCGATTTTGGAACCCATGAGACCAACAAATTGTGGTAATCCGCGAATGAAAATGGACATTCGAAGAGCACAAAAGCCAACTCCTAGCTATGTAACTTTATCGCCTGAAGTTTGAATCAATCCAAAATTAAAATGCTGATAATGTAGATGCTTTCCATACTTGAGATGTTAGTGAAGTTTTTCCTACAATTTAATTTCCATGATCGCCGTCTTAAAAATGCAAAATCATCAGTTGAAATTTCACTCGTGTTGTTTTTTCAAATTTTCGAATTTTTGTAAAATATCGCGTGCGCCAGCAATTTCTCTGCACAGCGACAACAAATTTCCCAGCTGCTTAAATTCTCTATAAGATTTTTTCAGCGGTCTTACCATGATTTTTCTGATCAAATCTTTTATTGAATTAATTAAAAAATTTTTACCAAATATCCGCTTCCCAAAAATTACGTCATAATAATGCAAAAAAAAATAGTTAGGTCATCAAAGGAGAAAAAAAATGGCCAAAAGGTATCTCGAAATACTTGTTGCTTTTATCGTGTTGCAGTTTCTTTCTGCTAATCGACTATAAAAATGTCCTTTGCGTTATATTATAAAAGAGATTTTCGCCTGTGTTACCAAGATATCAGACATTAATTCTTGTTATTACCAGTGTCTCGGGCATCTATAGTGACGTTACAACTCAAACTATTTTAAGTGCGATAAGTTAAGAACTATATGAGATATATGAATAAACTGTAAACGTCATTCTTAATCGCGTTTGAGCGGCACCTTTTAATTATAAAACAAAGAAAAATTTCGTTACATTATTACCATAAAATCGAGCGAGACATGAGCGATAATGAGCGTGACGATACACAGCGATACACGGCGTGTCTCAAACGTGACATTTTCGAGCGAGACATTGGGCGAGACATGAGCGATAATGAGCGTGACGATACACCAGCGATACACGGCGTGTCTCAAACGTGACATTTTCAACCAAATTTCACCGGTACTGGGCCATACATTTTTCAGGCCATAATTTTGTCTGGCCTGATTTTGGCTGTATTATGGCTCCACATTTAGGCCGGAAATTAAGAAACGCAATCGCATTTACGCAGACAAGTAAAACAACACATCTACACACGCATACCAAGATAGCACGCAATTGACGCAATGCTATTAAATCATGTCAAAAATATAAAGCAAGTTTTTGAAAATTTAGTAAATTAAAAATCATTGACAATAGTTTACACTTCAAACTTTTGGATAAAATGCATTTGTAAAGTTAGCTTTTGTTCAAGTATTTTTATGCATATTTTGCTTTTCCGTCAACAGCGATTAAATTACTTTTATATTTCAACTTTCAAGATAAAACCACTTGATTGAAAGAACATCACGCTATTGCAACGAGCTTTTGCTTATAGCCTACTAAAGCCTTATCGACTTGTTTTAACTAATCTACATTGACACTAGGGGCATTTATATCATGGGCGAAAATAAGCTGCGGCTTTGAGATGGACGTCGCGAGCGACTCATGTAAACGGTCAATTTGTCCGCAAGCGGCAGCTAAAATATTAAAGACAACAGGGTTGAAAGCTAGGCCTAAGTCACTATTCGGGCCGCGGTTTCAGACTTAATTTCGCCATTGCATTATATATGACAAATATGAAAATCGGATTTTAATTTCGGCCTTGAATATTTTGTAGGCCTTTCTATTCCAGCAAATTTCTGTTAAAACATATAAACATCTAAAGTTTTTATACCTATAAAAAGATTGTTCGCAATGCATGGTTTTGTAAGCGTAAAGGCCCAAACAGACCGGACGCGATTCGGCAACGCGACGCGAATTTTCAATGACATTTACCTTTACTATTTTTCTATGCTTTTCAAATATTCTTAACCACTTAAGCAATTTTAGCTATTTGGTCTGCATATCTTGTAAAATTTTTATCCGTTGACGGTTTTATTTGTTTTTAAAATCTGCAAATTCGCGTCGCGTTGTCGAATCGCGTTCGGTCTGTGTGGGCCTTAATAATTACATTTAAAGTAAATTATGTATTGCGGTATCACGCGCAAAACTGTACAGAACAGGTAAACGTTGAGATTAATAATACTTACATTTAGAAGAAACTTGAAGACTGTCTCCAATGCATATATTGCCAACGCCTTGAATCTCAAAGTCGCACAGAAACTTTGCGAGGGACACTATCATTTGACTTCAACGTCGCCTGGCTGAAGAATTACCGAGAATACAGTGCAATATATAACGATGATCATTGTTGAAAATCCGCAACTTTTCCCTTGTTCGACCGACCGTGTATGGTTCGCTGCTTGAAAGCGATGCGTGTGTATTGTACAGCAAAATAACTCAACCAACTCAAATTGCGCGCCTTGTCATCCGAGACAAAACAAATTAAATTTTTAACGTAACGCTCTTGTCGTGCTCAGTTTCTTTCAATTTTCGCCGGATATGATAATAATCTCACATTTTCATGGCACGCAAAGGAATTTCTGTTGCTTGTCTCGCTCTGCCTCGCTATATTATCGTCCATGTTCCGCTGTAAAAGCAGCGTGACAATTGTCTCGTTTGAGCGAGACAATTTGTCTTGCGATGTCACGCTCATTCAGGCCAAATTCTCGGCCATAAACAAGCGATACAAATGTCTCGTTCGTAACAGGCAGCGAGACAAAACCAATGTCTGGTTGTGTCTCGCTCAATTACCGCTGCTTTAATTGGTTTATGGCCAGATACTGGCCAGAATCTCGCTCAGTCGGGCTGTAACTTTTCGTACGGGTGATAGCTTTGGAGATCTTTTGGAATACTATGAGTTTGCCACCCAAGCCTTTCCTCGTATCATGTGCATTTTTGTGTCTTAATGAATTGTCTACTGTAGTTGTTGACTGTTGAATTTCCTGTTGTTATTGCAATTTGTAACAGTGGATACTGAGAAAAAAATTTAATTTCAACCCTGATTCACATGTTAGCCATTCTGATCATTTCAGCTGATAGTGCCATTGGTGAGACTGTCCAGCCTGCCGTTGCAACTGTCAGGAAAAGAAAATCCTCAGCTAGCTTTGGTGAACGAAAGGTTTTCTTCAGTCGACAGATTTCCTCAAATTCCAACAATGGCTTGGACTTCAGTGGCGAAAGTATGTTATGTAAAAGAAAGGAATTTGTACATATTTGTAACACAAGCATGAATAATATCATTTGTGGCTGGTCTAAAAATTGCAAAGTGTCTAGGGGTTACTTAAGGGGGGGGGACTTACTGTAGCTTGCCATCATATGACCACCTTTTGTTCTATGTCTTAATTTCCAAGCAGTATATATATAGCTTAAGGTGGCTCGATACAGTTTTCAAAAATTCAGGTGTTTAACACTTTGACATGTTCAAACTACGCATTTTTAGGATTTATTCAGCAGATATTGGGGTTTTTATATATCTTGATCACTCTACTTTCAAATTATATTAGTTTTAGCAGTGGCGTGCTGGCAGGGGGGGCCGGGGGGCCACGCCCCCCCCCCCCAGTTGGCAATTCTTGGGGGGCGCAAAAATGAAAAAGGGGCGCCGAATTTTGAAAGTGGGTCGGAAAAAATGCATTCTCGAAAAAATATGGTTACTTCCGCCAAGAAAAGACGTGTTTATAGGCTACAGTATAAAACAGACGAAGCGCATTGGCGACATATATTAAATTACAGACTATTTTGCCTAACCGTATTTGCTACCTCACAGCTCACACGAAATCGTTCATATAGAAACATGATCAGTGATCACAGGCAATGTCTCATTACCGGAATATTGGTCAGGTTTCAATCGAAGCGATCACGAGAATTATGC